TTTGTGTTGTTTATTATTTTTAGTTTTTACATTATTTCTCGAATGAAACTTCTACTCCTAACATGTATTCTATGAATTAAATTGAATTAAATATAGATGACATTTTCAAGAAATGAAAGAAAAACAGCTGTAGGTTCAACAGTTTCCGCGTATATGTATTTACAACATGCCATTGTGCAATACACAGTTCGGTGAATCTTTTTAGCTAAGCTGAACAATATGTGTAACAATCAATGCTTTGAATCAGAGATCATTTATATTTAATACCAGATTAAATATAAATAATAGTCTTGCGTCCGCGGCTTCGCCCGCGTGATATGTTGGTAAAAGCCTATGTGTTAATTTAGGGCATCACCTATCTGCATACTTAATTTCAACAAAATCAGCCCAGCAGTTTTTGCGTGAAAGAATAACTAACAAAGAACATCCATACATTCTCACAAACTTTCACATCTATGATATTAGTAGGATTAACCTTTTTAACTTCGACTTTGGTATCCGCAGAAGATTCCCTCCTTATAGTTGTTGGTTTGGTCATAGGTTTCTTGCTAATTTCTTTATATTGTCTTATCCGTTCCATCAGCAGCTCTTTTTGTTTCAGAGTATTCGCTAAGCTCTCACTGATGCCAGGAACTGAAAGTTTGAATAAATATATTATTTATTTTATTTGTAATGAAAGCAAGTGCAATTGCAAAACAACGAGATGTTGTTGGTCGGCGGTACAATAACAACTTTGAAAGCATAAGAATAAAAATCTATTAAAAAAGTTTGTGACTTAGGAACCAATTTCCCTAGTAATTGTTGTCGATTTCGGAAGACGGAAAGTCTTTAATTTTGAGTATCAGTATGGTTAAGTTTTAGAAAAAAAAAAAATTATGAATAAATCCAATTTGATACAATCGAATAAAATCCAATGTAGATAAAGTTTATCCCAAATTACTATTGGGGCTTTTCTTTAATGTTGCATGAGAAAACCACAATTTCTTAAGTAAAATTAATAGAAAGTGCTTTTATACCATCGGGCGGCTAACGAGACGGATTGGTGGTAAGCAATTGGAACCGAACCAACCAAAATGTCGTGGTGGCCCGGAGGTTAAGGAGCCCGCTTCTCATGCATGAGCGTGTGGGTTCGAAACCTGGCAAGTACCAATGTAACTTTTTCCGAGTTATATGTACTTTCTATAATTATTTAGACACCACTGACATACGGTGAAGGTAAACATCGTGAGGAAACCTGGACTTATAATTTCTAATTATAAGTTTGAAATCGCCAACCCGTATTGAGCAAGCGTGGTGATTAATGCTCTAACCTTCTCCGTATGAGAAGAGGCCTTTGCTCAGCAGTGGGCACTTATAGGCTGATGATGATGATGATGAATTGGAACCGGCCATTTGGGATAAAGATTCTAAAGATTTTGGGAATGGGGAGGGGAAGGATTCGGTCTTCGGTAACCACTCACTCGGCGAAAGACAACGCTATGGTTGTTCCACGCCGGTTCTGAGAGGCCGTGGTGCCGACCTATTCTCACATTAATGTTACAAGCAAAATCTTACTGTTTAAGGCATCCTGGACTGACATAGTAGTGGAGGTGTCTGTTGCAGCCGAGTAACCAGTTCTCTCACTCACGGTGGAAGCCAATTCAGAAGCCGTATCACCGCCATCGTCATCCTCTGAAATTTTAAAAAGTTTAATTATTAATCAGTAAAAATAGTATTGGATGTCACACCACTGGCAAGTTGGACAGTTGAACCAGAGATAAGTATTATTCTGTTTTATTTCTAACTATTTAAAATCGAACATGTTTGCTCTCTATTAGGTATATGGGGCCCATGACATTACTAAAGAGAAAGTGTGTATAAACATACTTTTGGCAATCCTGTATAGCAAAATCAAATGCTTGTATGAATAAAGAATGCTGGTGTTTCTATCGCCGAATCAAGTTCTCATTCAATCTTAAACTTTATATAACAAGTCGTATGCGGTCCTACATTTTCAAGACATATTTAAATTTTCTCTACGTACAAACCTTCTCTGGATTCCACGAATAATTTAAGACCAAAATTAGCTAAATCGGTACCAATGAAACATCTGGCATTACGTAACAAAAGGTCTGCTTTTCTTATAAAAACATTTTAAAATAAGTAAAGGACAGTCAAAACATATGGCGTTTCGGCACGAAAGACGTTTGTCGTAAACCATTGTTTTTACGTAATCTGGTCTACAATTTTTCATGAACCTAAATACTTAAAGCGTTGTCAGTCGTCATTCACCAACTAGAACTAGCGAGTAATTTATGGAATTATCGTATTTTTAGAATACTAACTATCGTGAAACATCTGTACTAATATTATAAAGAGGTAAAATTTGTAAGTTTGTATATAGGGGGTAATATTTGGAACAGCTGGTCGGATTTCCGAAATTCTTTCACTGATAGATAGCTATAATGTTCCTGAGCGCTATAGGCTATAAAACATCACGCTACGTTTAAATGGAGCCGAGCGGCGGGTGAAACCGCGTGAGAGAAGCTAGTACTAAATAAGAGTCGACTTGCCGCGATGCACATGCTGCTGACTATACACACGTTGTGACTTGAAACTAGTCGAGGTTCTTTTTTCTCAGTAAATTTACTTGGGTAAGTTGTGTTTTCAATAACTTTAACTACAACCATTTTTTCCCAATTTCAATTTGAAGTGCCATACCATTACAGAGCATTTCTAAAAGGTAATTAACATTAGGGAACTGTTTACCTTTCAGAGATATACTCTATATCATTTTCTGTATACTACCACTCTTCCAGATTCCGTGTTTGTGACTACATTCCTCACTACCTAACATTCGTTACCTCCTACTTATATTATAAATAAATGTATATTTTTGATATTATATATAACTGAATATTAATTTTTATAATTTCCAATATCTTCGAAAATTTTATGTAAAACATTAAATTTTTATTAATTACAATCACAAAATGTTGCTTTTTATAGCTTTCTTTGAGGAAAGTATTAGAAGTTGTTTTAAATAAAATATATTACCTATACACTAGTTTTAGTCACTATCTGCCAACCGTTACATTCTTGTGTTCTTATCTATTGTGGAGCCTTGTTTAATTAATTAAAACTCACCATAGATTTTTTTTGTATAAAGCATATTTTTTGAAGCATTCATGACATTAGGTACTCCTGAATACTCAGTGATATTGACATCCAATATGTTCAATATTAACCTTTCATTCATAGAAGGTAAACAAGGTAGGTAAAAAGGATACAATAGAAAGACCCCATTCACTTGGGACTTGATGAATTGAATTTGTTTATGGATAAGTTATATTGTAACACATGTGATGTTTAAGGTTTTTAATAAGAACTGAATGTATTCAACCTGAACCTACAGTTGAGTAGCATGTCTTAGACTATCTAGCTAGACTCTCTACAGCTAAGTTTGTGCAGTTGTCTGGTCAATAAATTTCAAGGGTAAACTATTTTTATTGCTTGGTAATACTGTATTTTTGCTTGGAGCTACTTCAACTTTCCATTCCAATCCCTTATCAATATATTGTTGCAGACTATACAAACATGATCAGAAAGTAAATTAATATTCTTGGATACCAGATGATTTTTCTATCTGTTGTTTGTATTTAAATCCCATTTGTACAAGGTTATTAAAAAGAGACAGCTACAATAACAAATATATATGTATGCTAATTAAAAGGCTATAAAGTTTTAATTTGCATTTATACAATATTATAATATACATACATAATATATGTACTTACATCTTGGATTTTAAATTATATTGTATACATAATTATGTTGGCATTAAATTTGTTTAAATATTAGGAATCAACCTGGTCCATATAAAATATAAAAAATTGTTACAGGTACTTACCAAATGGCCTTCCCAGTAGTTCTGCAGTTGCTTTACGATGTTCTTTAATCCTCTTTGACACAAGTGCTGCATTTTCCAAACACTTTTGAGCACGCTCAAACTTAATTTGTCTTTCTGAAGATGATGACACACGCTGAGATGTCTAAAAAACATTATAATTAATATTGTACCAACCACATCAATTATAGTTTTAACATAACACTAATATTCAGGTTTGTTGTGTTGTTTTTATCAACAATATGGCTGAAGTTTTTATTATCTAGTCAGCTGATTAATATTCCTATACTTTTTGTGAGAATAAGTAAGAATATCCAGATCAAAGGTCAATGTATGTAGTAAGAGAAACTCAAACATTGCAAAAATAGTTATGACAACACACAGTATGTTTAATTACGTAGTATTAAAAACCAATAGCAAATCGAAACACTAATGTCCTTGCTATGCTTGTGTCATGCAAATAATAAGTTAAACAAGTCCCTAGGCTTCCTTAAACATTCACCATTTACCTTAGAAGTTTTAACACTTCCTACGACACTCGACACCTCGCTAGAAGCTATATTGCTGTCAGCAGTATCAGATTGGTCCCTTTCGGGAGGATTATTGTTTTTATTGTCCGACATAGCTTATTGCTCTCTGCCAACATTAATAATACACGTATTACGCGGTGCACAATCACTATTCAATATACTTTATAAAATAGATACAACGAAATAAGAGAAATTATTAAAAATATTTATCTAATTATCAAAATATTTAGCCACCACCACTAGCACTAATTTGCCAATATCGCTTCTGTATCACATTTTTTAACCACGTCAGCAGCGATACTACAATGCAAATGACAGTGACATTTGACACGTGACAGCAATGACAGCTGTCTGACAAACTAACCTCAAGTAACCTGGTTCAAAATCCGAAGTAATCTCAATCTACATTAGCTTTGATTAAAAATCTGATAAATAAATAGTAAATAGCAGCAAGTAAGCTTAAAATACTTTTCATTGCTTATTTATAGTAAATTCATTTTTTTAGTTTAATAACTATAGTAACAATGTTGACAATGAAAAAACTGTAAATCGATTTGACATAAGTGACGGACTACTCTGCTGCAAAATTTGATAAGTCAAAATTATCTAAATTTGTTTGATATCTACCAATATTTCATAATTTTATGAAAATAACCATACGTTTATTCAATGGCATCAAGAATTCAGGTAAATATTTTCATTAATGAGAAATATTTGATACATGTTTCATCATTTATAATCTTACATTGTACAGATTACCTTGGTGCAATTTGACGCGTAGATTATTTTACAGGCTACAGCTCGCCAACTATCGAAAGCTTATAAGAAAAAGAGCAGGTTTGATATAGGCATAGCTTCAGAATTACCTGTCGCATATAAAAAGTTCTGGCGTGAATGGAAGGTATTGAAGCCAGCTGCTGTCCATTACATACCTCAAGAAGGGAAATGGAAACGCGACGACCTCACTGGGGAAATCTTGCCCATACAAAACATCCCTATCCCATTGAAACATCCGGCAGAGATCCATGAAGGCATTTGGGGTGGTGAGGCTGTGGTCAAAGGTAGGTTTTGTGTACTTGTGAATATTAATAAAAAAAATGTTTAGGTTATGTCATTGTTACATGTTGATTATCTATTTACAGGCTTCCAAAAACGTGATCCTCGACGACGCAGGGTTCCACACTACTGGGTGCCTGTATTAAAGAGGACTGTAGTGAAATCTGAGGTGTTAAACACTCACTTGTCAGTGACTGTGACTGACCGAACAATTAGTTTGATCAATGATCATTATGGATTTGACCACTATTTACTGAAGACACCAGCATGTGACTTAGTGTCCATGTTAGCATTGAAATTGAAGAAACAGATACTAATTGAATTGATGAATGGTTGTCCTCGATATTCACACGATCCTCAAAGGCAGCAAGAAGTCTATGAGGAATATAAAACTTACTTGACTTCGGTGAGTTACACAGTTCACAATAAAATAGGCACTCATATACCATTTTAGCTCTTTTCAAATTGGTCATTTTACTAAATTATTTAAATAAAAATGGAGTTTTGCATATTTTTTGTTCTGTAACTGCATGTTATGAATAATGTTAATTTTGGTTCCACACGATTCATACAGTTGCTTGTCATTCATGACCCGCATGTAATAAAATATTTTCTTTCTTCTAGTATACTCCGGAGGAAATAGAATGGTATGGATTATCATGGTATGAGGCTCTGTCCAAACTTGCTAAGCAGAAAGAGGCAGCCAACAAACCTGTTCCTTTAAAAAACATGTACAGAAAAAATCTAGTTGAAAAATTGAAAGCGGCAGGAATTGAATCAACTAAAACATCACCTGAAGAAATATCGTAAGTACTTTCTGTTAATTTTGTTTACACAAATGTTTTATTACCTAGTTGCTTTTTTGTTGAATATTCTATTTGTAAGACAAGGGTTGTTAAGTATTTGATAATACACTAATTCCATGCTCACCTTTTAATCAGATTACATTGAATACTTTCTTGATTTGATGTTTAGTTCTCAATTTGCATTGTTTGCAATATTTTTTTTTCTTTTCAGGAATACAACATCTTGGCTTTCAAAGATGAATCCATTTGGAAAGAAAGATGAAGCTTAATGTTTTAGTTGTAAAACGCTAGGACATGTGATGTCTAAAATGTTGTTTTTTTAGCAAAATGTAACATTTCAAGTAGATGTGTTTATTGCCAGAGATAGTCTATCTAACTTAGAATAAATAGGAATTACCATTTTTTTTATTATTCATTTACCTTTATGTGTACCAGTAAAGGGATTACTTGTATATAAAACAAAACTTAAATGAAATAATTTTATTATCAGAAAATAAATCAATATTTCGTTATGATTACAATAATACCTCTTAATATCTGTAGTTAATGATACAATACTAGAAAACTCAAAAATATGTTCACAAAAGTATTAAAACTTTGTGACTGTTGTTGATTACATGATAGTTTATTAAGAAAATAGTGTTTCAAACACGTAACATGTACAGAAACATTTTCAAAAGATATTCCCTACGAAATACTATATGAGATTGCATTTTAATATAGTTATAGTACAATGGCACAATGCCACACAACCTATGATGCAACTAAATAGAGACAGTCACGAAGTAACATCTACAATGTCAACATTGGAACTACTAGAGAACATGTTTGCGTAATTACATAATAACATTGCTGTCATTTCAAGGTTACAATATTTGCTCTGAGGAAGACATAAGTATATGTTTAGGTAAATATACATTTTTCTGTAACAAACATTGGTAGTGAATCATATTCGCTCCAAGATAACTTGTCAAAGCACTAGAATAGACAAGAAAGACGAAAAAGATGATGAGAAGGTCGATATTGACATTTTGCGCCTTATATTTAGATATTGGCACTTAGGAAGCTGTCTTGTTTAAAACTGCAGAACAGCGAAAGACCGAATTTCTGTAGTCATTGTGGTCATTTGTAAAACTTTTAAATTACAACTTTTTTGTATAAAATAATAGGACTAACAAATAGCAACAAATCTTATGAGCCGCCTCACATTGCCATAGCCTAAGGCGATCTAAGATCTATCTTAGATTGTTGTTGTGGCCATCTCAGATGTTTCTGGGATGGCCAAGTGTGCCCTTTCTTATGGGTGCTTTACTATCCAAGTTAAATATTAATAATCGGCATGTTTCCTTGGCCTAAAAAAAATGATTAAATTTTCTATACAAAAGTGTTTCACACACAGAACAGAAAATTAAGTAGAAGTGCCCCTACACTCTTTCAAAAGGAAAACCAGTGTCGCCAAAATCACACATTCGCAAATCAAATTGTCCATTACACACATAAAAAACAGCTATATAATTAGGTAAAAAGATGAAACGCAACTTTAGCAAATCATCTTCTAAATGTTGTTAAAAATTGAGTCTTATAACAATGAGCGAAAGTTGTTATCATTTTACATGTCACAATCAATAAAGGCGTCTATCGTGTAAAAAACAAATAAAACAATTTACAAACGGGTTCAGCCACTCAACGCTAGATGGCGCTGTAACAAATTCATTCTATTCAAAACGCTAACTTCTTTGAAATAGATGTCATATTTGTATGCACTTGTACCAATAGACATTTACTATTTTGCTACTCAGATAGGGCAGGGTATCCCAATATATCGATGTTTTTGTATTCGTGTGAGCAATATAATTTATCGACATGATATAAGTATCACAAATGATCAGTAATGAAAAAGGTTCTAATAGAAAAAAAGAAAAATATTAACATATTTTTTGAAGATTTAATGTTTTTTGGAGATGGTCAAGTCAAAAATATAATATAATATAGGTTTTATCAAATATTTGTAACTCTTACCTATTAGTTAGATCCGTGCCATTCTATCTATGGACGGACGGACTGCGGAGACTTAGTAAGTAATAGGGTATTTACCCATTGGAGTCGTAGGTACCCATAAAACTGAGACGATAAATACCAAATTTTATATATACTTAGATTTTGTTCTATTGCTATTTGCTGCTTTTTATCAACACAGCACGCGGGCGAAGCCGCTGGCGAAAACTAGTTATAAAATAAAAATGGTGATTAACCACCCGCACCTGCCACAGACGGATGCACGCTGTGTGTGGTTAAAACGTTGATGTGTGTATGCAATCTTAGTTAAACATTTATGAATTATACACAAAAATTGTCAAAAATCAATTTTCTGAACCATGATGATGAAAAATTATCGATATGAACCTATTTTACGAATATGTCGCATCCCTAAATGAGTAGCGTCGAAACTACTAGAATGTATTGTATATAACGTCACATAACGAACAAGTAGATTTAAACTTAATTGTAATGAAAATAAGGCCCTTTATAGGTTGCATTGAAGTAATGAAATGTAATATTTACATTTAAATCAAATATATTTAAAAATTAACACAGGTTAATACTCAAAGATGATACGATACACCACCACAAGACTCATCTTTTTTTCTGCTTACTTTTTTGCAGTTGAAAACCGCACAACAAGGCATAATTTCTAATATATTTCGTGTTTCTTAGAGACAACCATGACAACCAATCATGACAACGGATCGAACGATTCTGACAACAAATGTGCCAAAATGTTGTATATCTATTCATCATGTTGGTTAGCGCGCGATGTCTGAGCGGCACTTCCACTGTATTATCTATTCCGTGGTTTCACACTTTAATGTGATTTACTAGATTTTATATATTTTTCTAAAAACTCAATCTCTTAAATAATAGTCGTTTTAGAAATTTCAAAAAAAAAAACAAATTATTGCAAGTGCCTATTTGACTACTTGGAAACACCAATATTATTTTTGCTTAGCTTTATAATTATGATCTATATGGCAAGTAAAGGAGTGTTATATTAAGTGATGGTGCACTCGATGGGCGAGTCGAGCGGCATGGTGTCGGCCAGTAGAGCTGCGACCGCGCGCGCCAGGTACGTCATGGTGCCGTACGAGCCGGACGGCGCGCTGTCGTACAAGTGCTGGCAGACCCCCGCCGCGCCCCCACACACCAGTGAACCCTCACGAGACCCCTCCTTTGCGCAACACAGAGTCGCGTCACCGTTGCATCGCATCTGTGGGTGAAATAAGAGTATTATTCGTAAAGATTTAACAATCAAACAAAAAGCAAATAATTTTTGTACAGCATTCTGTTCATACGAACTAGCACCTAAACTAAGAGCATAGTGTCGTTATGGATGCTATAAAGATTAAGAAGTTGATAAATAAACCCTTATTAACTTTTAGTTAATACGGGTTAAGTCATTGACTGCCGACAGATACAGTTGAGAGCAAATCCTCCTCTAGTGTCTAGTAATAGTAGACTAGTGTCTAAAGTCATACACGGATTCGCTAATATGTAAGGAACTAAGCAACCATAATATACCTGATCATCTAAGAATATCTGGTTGGCTCTATGAACGAGGCTCTCGACTTCAATGGTTCCTCCTAGATGCGCTACTGCCTTATACTCCACGACCAATGTCAACACCATTAGAGCTTCCACCACTAACTGTCTGTACTCCGGCTGTGGGATCGAGTTCAGTACTGTTTCAACTGCAAGAGCGAATTTCAACTCTCCAGATGTCATCTCTTGGGTCAAATTCGGTTGCAAGGTCTTCCCTTGAATGATTAGGCCTTGACACTGAAATAATAAGAAACAGAACATATAGCTATTACGTAAAAGACAATGTACATAATATAGTCACCGTTTCTAAATATGCGTATAGTTGGTGACCCGGGCTTGCAAACTCAAAACTAAACACAAAACATTTTTAAAACCAAGAAGTTTCTTTTCATGTCAGTTAAATGAGTATGTCTACCGATATTCGTATTATGCGGTGTATGTGTATAAGTATGGGTCTTACATATTCCAAAATGACGCCAAATATATTTTCCTTTGCGAAAGGGAAACATAAAGATGTGGTTGTTTCTCGCCTGTTTTCTATGAGGCCGTGGTATCACTCTGGTCGAGCCGAACCATTCGTGTTGGCGTAACGTTATGCTAGCAGGAAATGTTTTTGTGAAATAATTAAAAAACTAAGCGCAACAAATTTAAAAATATGCGCAACATTGATTCAAATGACCATTTTCGACAACATCAAAACCGGCGTGAAACAACCACAGCGTTGTGTGAGTGAGGTTACCGGAGGCCCAATCCTTCCCCTCCCTAAATCTTCAAATCCCAAATCCCAAAAGGTCGGCAACGCACTCGTAACTCCTCCGTTGCGGGTGTCCATGGGCGGCGCTGATTGCTTACCACCAGGTAACCCGTCTGCTCGTTTGCCGACCTATTACATAAAAAAAAATCTGATCTGATTAACGGTCACCATTCGTGCCGAAGTATGGCTCTCCCACACTTACTACAATAAGACTTACTCTTTCCAATACACCCCACACTCGAGGGTAGAAGTCACGTGGCACACGGTTCAAGGCTCCATCAAGCCGTCGTCGACGCAACCATTGGCCCTGACGATCTGGCTCAGTTATTGGTGCTATGAAAAAGAACATAATGTTTACAACAGTCAAAATTGTAATAATAAATTTTAACTAAAATTCGCGGATTACTCACGTGTAAATGTTGAGAAAAGCTCTACTAGTTTCGAACCACAGTAGGCTGCGCGACGTCGCCGCGTCCGCGCACGCTGCTCATGAGGAAGAACCCCTCTGTGGTTCGAAACTAGTAGAGCTTTTCTCAACATTTACACGTGAGTAACCCGCGAATTTTAGTTAATTTAGTATGTCTCACGATAGTTATTATAAAATAAATTTTAAATCTCAAAATAAGAGTTAGATATCCCGTAGGAGAGACTTACCTTCTTCAATCCCACCCTGTAAAGATTGTCCTTCTAGAACAATTTGAGACTTCTTTCCATATCTATGAGATTTGTTGCTCACTATAGAGAAGTTACCGCGACCAACTGCAAGCAAAAAAAATTGTTTAAAAAACAGTCTCTAATGTCTATTTTATACTTTTTGCCTTAATAAAGTCTGTTAGCAAAATCGCGTAAAACAGTTAATTAGGATACAAACAGGTCAATTGATTAACATAACAGAATTAATGCGAAGTTAAAATATGTATTTTGGTACTACGAAATAGTAAAGTACGAATATAAATTATTATCTAACTATTAACATAAATAATGAAGGAAACTATACATATTTTCAGGGATTTTATGGTACTGATTTTAGTAGGTAAAACAGTAGTACAAAATGTATAATTCGAAAGAAAAATCCGATATAAATATTAAAAACTCCCAAGAATGCACAAATACGAGTAATTCTATAACAAAATTCTAACTGCTAAATAACAGGTTTGCAGTTTTCAAATCAGTATAATTAGAATACATGGGAATGACGACACGTATTGGATGAGAATAGCCACACTTAGGGTACAAAATTGTGTGCCAATTCGGAAGGACAAAGGTTACAAATTCACGGACATACACAAAAGCATAGTCGGACATACACTCGCCTTTACTTTTACCAATTTTTCCCTTTATTACAGATAACGAGTTCACTGCAAAAAGGAAACATTTGTATTGTAATAGAGATCTGATAGTGGGTCCATAAATATGTAGTGAATTCAGAAGATACTAGACTACACATACAAAATAAAACAATATAATAATATATTAACTATTCATGATTTTGATTTTTAACTTAACCAAAATTACCTTCATTTCAAAGCCCAAAACAACACTCTGGAACGAGCAAATAGAATCACTACGAGGAATCTAACTGAAATAAATGATATATCTTTGACATTGAAAAAGATAAACTGCGTGTATAAGTATTAAAAACTTTTTAATGATATCCTGACTTTGGTGTATGGTGATTAACTAATTATTAAAAAGTAATATTTACCGCTATTAATTGCAAACTCCTTTCCGCTGAGTATGTGGTGTAATAAATTCTTCATTTCAAAGGGTGATAAGTTAAGCAAATGTTCAGATGCTTCTTCGCCGTCGCAAGACAACGTACGCGACAACTCTGTGGCCATAACCTGTATAAAAATGTTGAACCATCAATTTAAATCTCTACCACAGTACTAAACATCATAAAAACTTAAACAAAGTAACACAAGGAAGTTCCCTTGTATGGAAACTAGGCGTTAAATATACTCCCAATGAATTAACTACATTTTGGACTTTATAACAATAAGATAAAGTTGGAAATAACTTGTTTTATAGTTTGAGATTTATGTGCCAGTGTGTCTGTAAGATCATTGTATAAAATAAATGTTAAAAACTGCGCAGTGATACATATTTCATTGATTTTGTCTATGTAAAAAGTATCAAAGTTATTTTTGTTATGCCATAGAAAAGGAAGTTCTGTTAAGGAAGTCGATTAGGAGGCGTAAAAGCCGCATTGGGCACATAGTTATCTAAAAAAATTAAGTTAAAAAAAAACTAAGATCAAGACAAGAATTACCTGTATGATAAGTCCAACACGTAGTCGTAACATCTCCAGGAAGAGTTGTGGTTCAGTGCGGATGAACATGGCAAGGTAGACCAGCAACTCTTGAGTCAACATGGCTGTACTCTCATCGTCACCATATGCCTGTACATACAAAATTACTTTTTAACCTTTATCCTTTCAATCAATGGTGGTAATTCGATACACAAGAGAAGAACAATAGCGCCGAATGTACGCACGTGTTTCGATTTTTGTCGTACGACATTTCAAATAACAGAACTGTTAGACGAGTAACTCGACTAATTTCATGCCACACTAGGAGTTCATATTCATAACAGACGAAACTGTTACAACATATGTCTCGAAATAAGAAATGTAACTACAGCACGCCTTTCAAGGCATATATTCTTATGTACAGTACACCACCTACGACCCTTCAGTACTTCCTTGGGATCCACCAAATTCATAGATTCGGACACGTAAAAACGGTGGTTAACGCCTCATATATAACATGTTTAATCGTATAGGAAGTTTAATAATCTTACGGTCTTATTAATAAGGTTCAGTTACACACTTGTTTAACACTTTGATAGCTATTCATTGAATAGGGAGTTAGCACTCCTTTATACAAGTCATTACCAATAAACAATGGTTATACCTTGAATAACTATTTATTCCTTATACTGCTGATTGCTAGCAACATTGATGAAAGCGTTCCGAAACTTTTGAACAGAAACACTTCTTGACAATATTCTTGTATTATTATAATTATTTTATTAGAATAATTAATAAAATACTTGATTTTTTATAACAAAAAGCAGGTTTTAGGTATTTAATTTAGTTTTGAAATATTTATTTATCAATTATTTGCGAAACATTTTTGATAAAAATGTTGATATTTCGAATGTACCTAATCAATGCCAAATACATATTTGACACAAATTAGAGTCGTGGCATTAGAATTATACTTCGATAATCTAATTATGTACTGAATATATTCGTAACAGCTTTTTATAATAGGTGTTATACCTATTACTGAATATCAGCCTAATATTAAGGCAGCTGATCTTATATTCCCTTACGTATAATTGATCTGAAATAATGTTATAAGTACTAAGACACATTATCACCACGTCAACCTATTTTAATACTTCACAATCACCTTCAAAATTTCGGTTTATATCGCCATCATACCCCATCTTCTGGTTAGTCAACTGCCAGTCAGCTGGTTCTGACCAGTAGACATGTGAAATTAGTTTATCCAAATATATCAATGAACGTACAAATAAATAAGTATTACAAATATTGTATTCGTAATACGTATCTGTATCTACGAGTATTACAGATATTTCGTTACACTTCTATGCCACGTATTAATTTTTATCCTATGTTTGATGTTGTGAATATAAATATCATCATCATCATTAGCCTACAAGTGCTCACTGCAGAGCAAAGGCCTCTTTTCATACTGAGAAGGTTTGAGTATTAATCACCACGCTTGCTCAATGCGGGTTTGCGATTTCAAACTTATAATTGAAAGAATTTAAATATGTTCTAGTAAAAATAGAAAAGGTTATGTTTATTTGGAAACAGTAATGCGATTATTGTTTTGCCTTTTTAGGAATAACAACCTGGATATGTCTTATTCAAGCAATCACATTTCTAAAGTAACAAATTCTGCGATATACGACTCGACTTGCTAATACGATAGATAATCTGCGACACATATTTGTGATAGATAACTGACTCATTCCATGAATATCAGCTACATCGGCTTGATCTTTTTGTCGTGGAAAGGCATGGCTCTAGAGCTTTACAGACATGGATTTCTGCTGGGAAACCGTCACCCTTAGTCCTATGCTGTGCCTATATCATGACATAGCAGATCAACAACTTCCATAATATGTTTCTTTGAAATTTATATTTTCTTTATAAACTCTGCACCTTCTAATGAAAATATCATCGTTAGAATCATTGCGAAATTAAATTTGACTCTTTTTTGTTGATTTTTCGGAAATCACGATCATCAAACACATTTTAGCAAAATAATGTAAAATCAATTTTATAAGTCTGACAGTTAAAACACGAAAATGATCGCTTATTCACACGTTATACAAGGTCCACGGGCTGAATAACTCTTGTCTAACATTTCATACAATTTTCACAATGGTTATAACAACTGTATACGCGAGAAATGTCAAAAGTTGATTATTAGTAATGAGTCTGTTATACCTCTGTTATAAGGTGTGTGCAAATCTTTATTAGTAAGGGGGTTAATATATTCAAAGGGACCACTGAAATATTATCAGTATGTCTCATCTCATTTCGGCGGGAAAGTTTTGCTTCCGGTGGGAAAACATTTTCAGTTCACTCATTTTTAGTTCACTAATTAAAATTAATGAACAAATTCTCAGTAGAACAACTCTACCGATATTATAAATGTGAAAGTTTGTGAGAATGTATACTCAGATGTATTTTTGTTATTTTTTCACACTAAAACGGCTGGACCAATTTGGTTGAAATTTGTTATGTAGATAGGTGATACCCTGGATTAAGACATAGGCTACTGATTTTTATCAACATATGACGCGGGCGAAATCGTTATAATTCGTAGAGCGTAATAATAAAAAGCAATGAGCGTATAGTTACAATGATAACATACATAGGTAGAACGTTAGTCATTGTTATACAACTGCAATTATTACCTTCTTCTGTTCATTCCCTTGATTTTCATGACGAAATGACTGCATGCAACAAATATTAAAGCTAACATTATTATAACGGTTCCAGTCGCGTATTAGAGCTTTCACGTAAGGGCTAATATTTAACGATTTTTGTAAAGTTTTATATTAGCTCAGCTTTATTGAATCCAAGCTCAGTCAAATTTATCGTTGAAATTTTAGTGCACAGATGGCGCTACTATCGAGTTTGAGCTTTGAAACTCATTTTATACCAACACATCATGCGGTAAAAACAAGCTTGTTGCCATGCAACGTCGCAGTCCACACATTTAAAATGAGATATATTACAATGTATGAATAAGTTCCGATTACATTAGAGTTGATTGATGTACCTGATGTATGAGCTGTCTTAATTCGTTCTCTGGCAGCGGGGCTGTGATAGTATGTTCATTGTTCGGAGGCATGCCCACAGTAATCTGTTTCTGTCGCACCAGTAAGTCAGTTACAGCCTTTGCGAGGTCCTCAACTCGCTTGCCAAGCATTCCTGCCGTGTGGCGGACGAGCCCCCAGAGCTTTTGGGTACAAGCTTTCTCGTAAAGAACCTTTAGAAGGTCTTTAACCGTCACCATTTTGCCGTTTTCCTGCATGCCTGTGAAAAAAGCATATATTTATATAGTTATCTAATACAGTAACAATAAAATCCATTAACTTAGAAAATGTGTCTTAATAAAATTTGTGTTTCACAATGGCGCGGTTAAGGCGTCCGCTTCTCGTACATGAGCACCCTCAACCATCCTGGGTTCGAAGCCTGGCAAGTACTAATAAGACTTTTATGTGAGCTATATGTACTTTCTATGATTATTTAGACACCACTGACATACTGTCTACGGTGAAGGAAAACTTCGTGAGGAAACTTGGACGTATTTATAATTATAAATTTGAAATCGCTAATTCGCCTTGAGCAAACGTGGTAAGTAGGTAATACTTAAATCTCCTCCGAGAAGAGGCCTTTGCTCAGCAGTGGGCACTTATAGGCTGATGATGTGTGTCATCATTTGACATACCTGTACTAAAGTCCAGTCCATGCGTATCGACGAGGTACTGCAGTATGTCTCCCTGTTCGTCAAGGCTCTCAGTCTCTCGCAGCATGGCGATGAGCTCGTCCGTCTCTTGTTCAGCGTACACCGAGTTCTGGGACTCTGAAGTGGTGCGGTTGCGAACTATGTTCGTAAGATTCTTGTTTACAATCGCTGAAATAGTAAAAGATATTGTAATTATTTATATTGAAATCCTATTTCATGATAATATTTTTTGTATGAACTCTAGCTCTATACTGGCAGCAGGGAATTGTAAAAAAAACGCATAACAATTGATTAAAAGAGCCGAGTCCGTAAGCACGTCTGTTTTTACTAGTAGCTATTCCCGCGCGGTTTCACTCGCTGTTCGGCTCCATTAGATTGTAACATGATGTTTTATAGCCTATATATAGCACTCAGGAACATTGTAGCTATCTATCAGTGAAAGAATTTTGGAAATCCGACCAGCGTTTCCAAAGATTACCCCCTACATACAATCTTACAATATACAAGTATAGATAGATATTATATGTCTAAGAATAAAACATTCTCGAGAATATGTAAAAATATCTCTTTTTAAAAGTTTACCCAAGTAAAAACTTTTTGGTTACCTTCAGGTGGGGATGGAGACTTTTCTTTTGTCACTTCTATGGTAGGAGTGCCAACAGCCAATGTAGTTGTCGATGTTCCTCTAAAAAGAAAAGCAATAAAATATCCAGTTATTAAAAAAAACCTCTTAGTTGCGCATTGAGTAACTTTTTTGCGCAAGTAATGGGATCACATGCGCTAAATGTGCCTTACGTTATTAAATTCTGAACACTTACTTAGTAAAAGCTCGGCGTTTAGCATCCTCAGGTGATGGACTACGCCCGTAAGTAGCGGGGTCCACATCAAGCCACGACGGTTTACGCTCCAAAGAACGACCCACTGACTCTCCTTCCATACCTAACGTTTCAGCTGCGAATCAAATAATATAATATTAAAACGATATTTATTTAAATACAAAGGGAATGTCTCCTCCCAAACACAGTTTTCATACAATGGCTGATTATAGATATTATCCTCCAAAATAAGTAAACAGTATAAATTATTAAAAGTTAAAATTATCACACAGATTGAAATAAGAGAGAGAGAGAGAGCTTTTGTCAATTTTGAACCCTATATTAAAAGAAATAAGGTAGAAAATTATACATACAGTCTACATTGATAGATCTAGTCTTCTTGATAGCTCCACGAACAGACATACGGCGGCGCATTGCCCGAGCATTCCGAGCTCCTGCTGGACGTGGTAGGAAGTTGATCTTGTTGCTAAACGATTTCAAGAGGTGCTCTTCTAAATAACTCTGAACTTCTGGGTTTAATTCTGAAAATATAACAAGACAGTAAAATGTATTGCTTTTTGTGTAAAGAAGTAAATTATAGGACGGTATTGTGTTAAAAATATTTCCAAAACATATACCTACGTTCAGATTATAAAGGGCAAACATGTCTTCCAAAGTATAGATTTGTAAGAACCCGTTAATTTTATGCAAGAATTACAAAGTAAACTTACTATCGGGATATCCATCCTCTTGACTGCCAAGAAAACTTAAATTAGTTATAGCGGATGTGCTCAAAAACTCTCCGAGATTACCAAGAGTTACTCTTGTACCGTTGATGTAACCAGACTTAAGCTTTTTCATAGTTGTTATCATCGCCATTGGGATCTTACCCTGATCTGTAATACGAACCAAAGTATTGACAATCTGTAAAAGTAAAACCTCTTTTAAGCGAACTTCAAAACTATTTTCAGGAATTATTTTACTTTATCGAAGTTCGATTTAAAGAGGTTCCGCTATAAAAATAACATTTTTAAACATTACAATAGCTTTGAAAGCGTGACAATGAGGAGTTAATAATGTAATACATTTCGGAAACAGTTAAAAATGAGGCTACAACCACAACCATTTCAATTTTTACTTTTAACCAAACCATTAGTAAAACCCAGTCACCCAGCCACCAAAATAAAGCAACAGAAAAGTGCGGGTAGTTTGATGAGAAAAGCATTCACGCAAAAAAACAAAAATTATAGGTATTCATTTTAATACATAGATCCAATGATTATAAGTAAAAAGGTGTAGATAGGTTACAAACGCCCGGCAAGTGATACATTAAAATGTGGCTAATTAGCCACCCTTTTTTATACTTGTCTCTTTTTCACTCGCGATTATTGAATCATGCCATCTCACTTTGACGACATACGAATTGTTCATGTGTGTATCAGTGTGTCGTTTGGAAATCGAATTATGTTTAGGTTACCCTATCTACACCATTTTACATAATATCATTGCATTGATATTTATAATCGCGGATGGCCAATTCAATTAATTAAATACAAATTCTACAAGAAGTACTTTTATACATTTAAGCGTCATGTGGGTTAGTTGATGGTTAAAGAGAAGCTCAGCACACTTTAAAGCTCATAACTAAATGTTTCTTTTCATCGTAAATATTGCAAGTAAAAATTACATACATTTTAGGAAAAGTCGCTTCAGAAAAAGCACTTTTATTAGCCTTTACGCGCCAAACACCTTAACACGCAAAGAAGAAAAAACTTAGAGGTAAATTATTATTATTATTTATTTTTTACCTAACAGATACTGCGTAGCGAGTAATGTGATCGTCGGTCGGCCAAGCATTTGCTTCCAGCTCATGCCAAGGAACGCGACGTTAGCCGTAAACGTGCTGGCGAGGAGCGCCGGATCGCGCGACATGTAGTACTCTTCGTAGTCGAAGTTCTATGACACACCACACCCATGCAGGGGTTATTACATAGTAGGAGACATGAGTGTAGCCAGTGATTGTAAATGAAAAACTAATATAGCAGAGTGCAATAAATATTAAGGAATAAATTATGAAAACTCATAGTACTAGCTACACTCATGGCGAATAGGTCATTAGTTTTATACTTTTCTACAGTACCGGATCTGGAGTCTAGATGATGCAGGTAAAGGGTAGAACGACACTTCTGATTATCTGACATACTTTTACGACTATGTGTCATGTAAATCTGGGATAATTTACCGACAGCACAGGTTTACCGAATAACTAAGGAAAACTGAAGATTACCTTAGTATAACTTTAGTTAAGTATTCTAACATTACACTACGTATTCCTAAACTATGTGAGCCTTTTTAAACAAATTAACATTCAAAGTCAAATTCTTTGTGGTACATGTTATTTGTGAATGACCAATTCTAAACATTGGATGGGATGGGCAAAACCAGCAAGCATGTTTTTAAATAAAATAAAGAAATAAAACGATACCCAGGTGCATTTTATTCAGAGTCAAGACAACAAGTGGTCGACCAAGAAGGTTTTGCCAAGAGGACTTCAAGAAATTAATTTCTGCTTTGAGGGTGTCAACCATAAGATCGAAGTCAGAGGCGATGTAGAAACGTGTCATGTCAGAAAACTAGTAAATTAAACAAAAATGTTGGATTATACATTTTCAAAAAAGCAGCAAATAAGAAACTAATAATTTGATTTAAAAATTATTCAAAATAATGCAATTGCACAACAAACTTTTTTTTAACATACCTGTGGTGTAAACGCAAATATGCGGTCATTCAAGGAGTACAGTTTGCTTGTGCTTAGAATACCTACATCACGGGATTTTCTGCCAGATAAACCTAATTTCTTGTTACGACCTGCAGATACCAAACAATTATTATTACCAATTAATTGAAAATATTTTTTTTTTTCGAATATTTGGCCTTATTAGTCCTTTAATACTAGTATTGTCTCTTACCCAAATATGTGTACAGATGGCTTAAAACTCTTGCTGGTTGGACTTCAATAGGAGCCACATCACTGATAGTTTGTACATGCAGGTCATACTCTAGCAATTTATCTCTGATTTCATTATTTTCAGCAAGTATCACAATCTGGACAACTACATCTGGCTTCTTCTCTGAACATAACCTTCTATTAAGAGGATCTAGTTCCCCAACAGCTAGGAAACCCTGCAAGATATCAAGATTGAGAACAAATCATGCAAAACCAGTATAAAAAATATTGTTTGTGTGGTCTGACAGGGTTTACCTCTTGTAATAACTTTCCTAAAATGTACAATGACTGGGCCCATATGAAGGGGCACCTGCCCAATGGTATACGCTCTTGGCTTCCTGGATTCTGTTGTTCTAAATCAGCCTTGTCAGGTGGCACTGAATACAGCTCAGGGACCAACTTGATTCCATCATCTTTTCTTAACATAATTTTTTCCAACAACTGTGTATATTCTGCGACATTGTTTTTATCACCTTTGAAACAATAATCAAGTATCAAGTAACAGAAGAATAATGGCCATTCACACTCAATATTTTCAAACATCCTCAGTTCCCAAGGCTCATAGTACAGTCTATTGGGATCCTCTCTTGGTGTTTTGTGGCCATCCCTGAGGAATCGCTTACATCCAAATTTTCCTTGGAGTTTAGCAACAATGGTGTCTCTTGTTATTGCAATCAACTGAGGGTCATCCACTGCAAAAGCTGGATAACTTATAATAGATAGTAGACCTGAATCTAACTCTTTACTATTTGATTCTCTTGGCAGCATGGACTGTAGCACAGCTTGACATTTTTGAGCTTCATCAGCCAACACATGAATAACACTGGAAGGTCCACCACGAGCACCAAACAGGTCCAATTCATTCATAGCTTCAAGAGCTGCTTTGGCCATACCAATAGAGCTAGCATTTAATTCTGGCAGACCATGATTGGTCTTGTCACCTCTTTCCCAAATTCCATAATCAGGAGTACAATATGCTGATTCAATGTAAAATACTAAATTCTGAATGAATGAGACTTCATCTAAAGAGAACACAATTTGAAGACCAGAAGCTGTCATCTGTGCTAGAATGAGAAGGTAGAGGGAGATGGCATCAATCTGGAGGTGGCCCCACTCTGTGTCCTTGACCACTATGCGGCCAGTGGTAGAAGAATACTTGGCATGGAGAGAATCCAAGGGATGCTGAGTGCTCTTGAATTTCTCTACTTTGTCTTTTTGTTGCATCATAGCCATGAGAAGACCTGACAAAAGCAAAATTCAATCATACATACACATTTTATAAGCTTGATGTCTAAAATGTTAAAAAAAAGGTTGCTTTTGAAGAAGATATTTTAAAAACTATTTAAAAGTATGCAGTATGTTTAGAACCAGAGTGAAAAGTTTCCTCAAGTGCAGGTAGGTCGCAGTTCAATGCATGTTGCATTGCATTACAAAATCATAGTAGATAATAACTACTAAAAGTTGTTTATAAACTCTCAAGTAATTCAGTATTCTTTAATATTTTACTATGTTTTATACAAACTTAGTAAAAATACTAACTCAGAGTTTACTTGAAATAATTACCTCTCATTAGCTTGACGCAACTTTGCTCTAATTCATATGTTTTGGCACGGTCTTCATCTTGATCAGCAATTTTCTTAAACGCCATAGATAGTCCCCACACCGCCAGAATACAGTAAAGGTTGTCTCTAATCCAAGCGTGGTCATTATGAGGACTTGCGGGAAATAATCCTGTCACAGGTTGTTGGTGATCTAAAATTAACTTGTGCACAACCCGCTGGTAATAATCTAAACGCACCCCCGAATTACTACGAGTCCTCATTTTGGAATCCAGTCACACAAGTTACAAATCACACATATAATTCATATTGATTACTTGGCTTTTAAATAAATACTATCGTGTGGTGTTTTTCAATAATTCATAACTATTTATTTATCATTTTACCAAAAAATAATGTGTCATTTGAAAGTCGCAGTTGTCAAACATAATTTTGACAGATTGTAATTTTTACTTTTGACAGCTGAAAACTTGTTTTTTTTCCCCAAGTTATAGTCGATTAATCATAGAGAGATTCAGTAGTGTACACCTACTACGACCCTATTATTTTTCACACGTCACAACTGACAATGTCAAAAACAATTTGATTCTTACTAATGTTTTCTTGACTTGTATGAGTTTACTTAAAAGATTTTTAATTTTCGAAAGTTTTGGTTTTCTACAAAATGATATTTTATCTTTTGTTGTGTCATATTTTGTTAATACCAATAGTTAACAGCAGCAATACAACAGTCATTAAGCCGGAGTCAACTAATAAAACTGTAACAGAATCTCTAAAGGTGAATCCATCCAATGCGACGAAAGAAACTTTGCTAACTGAAGGCGGTTCAGTATTATCCGGTGTCGGAGCATCTATTCTGGATTTACCTAAGGAAAAACTTACGAGCTTAGATAACGAATTGGGCAAAAATAAAGTTAAGCCAGTTGTTGCAAGGAAAGGGGTTGTTTACATTGAAGATGATAATGAGAAACAGAATAAAACATCAACTAGCAATGGAATTCCAGTTCAAGCTCCAAAAATGTTGGACAATACTCCTGAAGTCAAGAATGAAACAGTAGCAACAATTCATTCGATTGAATCCAAGGTTAATGCTTCTCAGTTGAATAACATTGTGAAAGGTGTGAATAAAACCGAGACTCCTAAGAAACCATTACTGTTATCTTACGATTCTCTAGCGAATATGACTGTTAAGTCATCACCAGGTACTTTGGAAACTAATCAAATCCAATCGCCTAATAAATATATAAAAATCTACACTAAGAGTGCAAATAGTCATCCTGGGGTGATAATGCCTATTGTAATAACCATATTGCTGGTTCCAATGTTTGCAGTACTTGGTTACATGGCTTTGCGACGTGGTCAAGAGGCTTGGAAAAACAGGCATTATAAAAGGATGGACTTTTTACTTGATGGCATGTATAATGATTAGAATCTATTCTAAAACCTTAAAATAGTACTGTAATTTCCTACTAACTTTCCTACTTAATGATATTGCAAAGAGATATTTATTGTAAGAGAGATATTATCTGATATTGTGTGATAAAAAGTGAAAGGCCAGTGGTTTTTTACAATTTTTATTAAAGAGAACAACTTTTCTTGAAGTTGTTTTATAAATGTTAAATGTTCATTGGCAGCATTGTTAAATATTATATTGTTAACTAAATCATATTGTTATAGATATATTGCATAGCATAGCTTATTTACATTTGGCTGATGGGGTAGCAGAAGACTCATAGGGTATTAGATACAACAGAAGACTCAATGTGGAGATGACAATAAGTAAAGAGGTGGTGCTCGAAATGTGCCTTACATTATATTAATATTAGAAAACAAACATGAACAATTTCTTTGTACGGGCAAAATTTTTTCTTATGTGAGATATGTCTTCCTTTTAATGTAAGTTATTTATTAGATTGTTATTGTGATAATTTATAATATTTAATACATACATTTGTAGATTTCCAATGGTTTGTGCTAACAAGATTTGATTGTAGTTACCAAATAATGTATTATTTAAGATTATTATGCAGTCTCAAATGATTTCAGATGATGCATAAATAGTAATATTTTTACATTCAATGTTTCAATTTTTGTTATAGATACAATTATTCTATTCTTTTTTTGTATTCTTTTTAGTTGATTACTTATTCTTTTTAGGTAAAGAGGTTTAAATTATATGTCACAGCACATTAGTAATATTTTTAGTGATACCTTCCATAGCATTGTAAAGTAATCTAGTTATAATGCATTATGGAGTAATATATTTTTTCTAAAAAGTTTTTCATTAATAAAATTCAAACACCAATGGTAGTTTATTCTTTTGATTTTACTTCAATAAATTTATAAAGTAAGTAAGATAAGTATTAAATTTTGGGTACCCAATCTTCAATCATATATACTTACTTATAATCCTTGTATGTTCTGGTTTTGGTGTAAAATTGCCTATTCTGTAATATTTTCGCACCTATTGTAAAATATAAGAATTTGTTACCTACCTACATTATTAATTGACTGACCATCGGTTTTCGGGTGCAAGAGCATACTACATAATATACCGCGGCCCAAGGGCGGTTCCAGCTTTGGCGCCAGGAGGGGATACATAGTGTGATCAAGTTAAGAATTTTTTTTTTTTTTACTTGCAATAAACCAGTGCTTGACTGCGATCCCACCTGATGTTAAGCAGTGATGCAATCGTTGATGGTAAGGCGCACTAGTTTATTAAGAGCCTATTCACTCTAGCCTTGTAGACACCTAAGTTGTATTCGGACGGAAAGACTGCAGCCGGCAAACTGTTCCAATCCCTCGATGTACGCGGTATAAATGACGAGGCAAAACGCTTAGTCCGGGCCGCAGGTGTCTCAACAACGTAGGGGTGGATATTCGCCGTACGCCGGGATGTCCGAAGGTGAAATTGGGATGGCGGAATCAAATCGTGCAATTCCTGAGCACACCCTCCAAAATGTATCCTGTAGAAAACCGCAAGGCTGGCTACTCTGCGCCTGTGCTCGAGACTTTGAATATTGGACCCAACCAAATCTGGATCTCCAATCAGCCTCTTTGCACGCCTTTCCACCGAATCCAAAGCCGCTAGGTGGCATTTCGCAGCACCAGCCCATATGTGGCTGCAGTACTCCACACACGATCGGACCTGAGCTTTATACAACATTAGAAGCTGACTCGGTGTGAAGTACCGTCGGACTTTTGCAAGAACGCCGAGTTTTCTAGCAGCTACCTTGGCTCTGGACTCAATGAACCGCCCAAAGTTGAGGTCTGAAGCAATGTCCATTCCCAAGAGCTGAAGGCGGTCGGTGCACTCCAGGGATACATCCCGAAAAGCAGGAGCCAAGGTGAACGGGCTCCTTTTGGCGGTGAATAGACACGCCTGTGTTTTGGTGGCGTTGAATGTTACCAGATTAGTTTTGCCCCACTTTGAAACTACCTGAAGTGAGACATTCGTACGCTCTACCATAGCCTCCCTTTCAGACTGGATTAGCTCCTTACTAGCCCGAGCACTGGGCAGGTATCTCTCTACAACTGTGCTATCATCTGCATACCCAAGGATACCAGGCACTAGCAGATCATTAATGTGGAGCAGGAATAGAGTTGCAGAGAGAACAGACCCCTGAGGAACACCGGCATTAGTCGACATAGGCCTTGATGAGCATCCATCGATAACAACTCGGAGTGACCGTCCACTCAGGAAGTCTTTTACCCAGTTTATCAGTCCAGGAGAAATGCCGTACGCTGGAAGCTTAGACAAAAGGCCATCGTGCCATACCCTATCGAAGGCCTTCGACACGTCTAAGGACACGGCAATAGCTTCCCCATTCCTCTCGAGGGCCTCGCCCCACAAGTGAGTGGCATAAACTAGTAGGTCCCCAGTAGACCGGTTGCGGCGAAATCCATACTGTCGGTCGCTGAGGAGATCGTTACCTTCTAGATATGCCATGAGGCGCGAATTCAACACTCGCTCCATAATCTTGCAGAGTATGGAGGTTATCGAAATCGGCCGATAGTTGGCAGGATCGGCACGACTTGGCTCTTGGGCACGGGTTGCACGTTGGCGAGCTTCCAGGACTTTGGCACAATACCAGTCCTAAATGAGAGGCGATACAGGCGCGTCAATACAGGAGACAACTCGGGCGCACAAGCCTTGAGAACTATCGCTGGTATACCATCAGGCCCACTAGCTTTATTCACGTCTAGACGACACAGTGCTCTCAGAACTTCTTTGTTCCTTAAGCGAACTTCGGGCATCGAGGTGTCGCAGATAGGTAGAGTTGGTGGAGTAGCACCACAAGTGTCAAGACGAGAATTATGGGCGAAGAGTGATGCAAAGAGACCTGCTTTCTCCCTCGCGGTATGAGCCAGTGTTCCATCAGGTTTAACCAGTGGAGGCAGTGTAGGCCGACAGAAGTTCGCTTCGACCGACTTGGCAAGGGACCAGAATGCTCTGCTACCGGAAGGTTGTGCAGAGAGTTTTGTGCCAATGTAGGTGATGCGGTCGAAGCGAGCCTTCCTCAGTGCCTTTTTGTAGGACTTGGCAGCATGATTAAAGGCTCTCTTCTTTGAGCTCAGATCCGGAGCTTTATGGTCACGAGCGTTAACCCAGGCGAGAAAAGCCGAATGATTACGCTGTTCAGCTTGAGCGCATTCGGCATTGAACCATGGGTGAGCCGAGCCGCCGATGGGTACGTCGGTATATGGGATGAAGTACTCCATAGCTTGACGTATCACATCGGCAACAGCATCCGCACAGCTCGACGGATCTTCAGAAGAGAAGCAGACCCGCTGCCAGGGATAAGATGCGAAGAAGTGCCGCATCTCATCCCAATCTGCTGACTTGTAACGCCACATCCGCCGCTCACCGCGTGAGACGCAGTCAGGTGGGGAGAAGGACGATAAAGATTTCACCAGACAGTGATCTGAAGTTCCAAGGCGCGAAGAAACTGTTACGATACATCTGTCTGGATCGGTGGTCAACAGAAGGTCCAGGCAATTGGCAGTATGACCAACCACATCAGGCACCCTAGTCGCTTGCCTAACCAGCTGGGAAAGGCCCAACGAAACCGCAAAGTTCCGCGCCTCTCTCCCAGCATGGTCGGTCCTCTGGTATGGGTAAAGCCAGTCTTGGTGGCAAGCATTAAAGTCCCCCAGAGCGACGAACTGCGCATTAGGGTGCCAAAGCAGAGCCTCATCGGCGGCCTGACTGAGATGGTCAAAAAGTCGAGTCGTCTCCTGATCGCCGCTGTGCGATCGGTAGACACAGGCGTAAACAATTTTGTCCATACCAGTGTCCACCAACAGCCACAACGTAGACAGACTTGTGTCTTCAAGGTGACGGAGACGCTGGCAGCAGATGTCATTACGGACGTACACACAGACCCCGGCACGCTGCAAGAAATGATGCTCCAATGAGTATCCCGGGTAGTTGAGGTACGCCGTA